ATGCCAACGTGATGTTGCGAAATTAATGCGATTAGAAAAGTGCGCCGATATGCGCCCATTCCCATGTGCCACCTCGCCTCTTGTGTAAGTGAAATGGCTTGCCACATGCACTAACAGTATATGTATGTACGAGAACATCATCGGATCCCGCAGTGTATCGCAAAGCAAGTTGGTCGTCTATGCTCATTACATTATGCATGCGCGCATATCTTCTGCGCTTGTCTAAGCCATGGTGATTGATGCTCACCAGCTCTCCTGTCTTGCGACTAATCATCTAACTCCTGCCCTGCTCCTCAAGCTCTCTTAAGCCTTGCCAAACCCCTCCATTGCCCTCACGGGCCTCGCCGTAATCGCTACTTTTCTAACGGACAGCATCGTCATCTGCGTTTCCTCACGTCATCTCTCTTCGTAATGTCCCTTCCATCGGAAGCTCACTGCTTGAGAGCTGAGCCGATAGTGAGTGTGAGTTGAGTGTAGTAGCTGGCTCATCGGGTCTTCTCTGCAGGTGCATACCTCCTGGCGGCTCTTCATAGTCGGGATCTTTTGGCAAGTACCACATGGCGAGTCCAGCTTGGTATAGTGGAGGCAGCGTGCCGAGGCGAAGATTGGGTTTGGGGGCTATGATGGCTTGAGCGTTTGTAGGAGGATGATGTTGGTGGCTTGAGTCGTGTGGGCGAAGGATCCATCCGTGGATCACGTTCCCACCTCATACAAGAAAAAAACCGAACAGGTCTAGAGCCTACATCGACGCTAGGTCACCTATCTAGTAGGTTTACATGTTGATGTAGGCTGCAGGCCTGTTCGGTTTTTTTCTCAATTGACGTGTTCCGGTCATGTGACTGTGACGTCAGATGCGCGTCCTCCCGCAGCGGCACGACTGTGCCACATAGACATCAACAACAAGTGCGCTCATGTCCGAATTGACACTTGCCTCCCACGTCGTACAATGAAGCACCTCACGTTTTCCGAGAAGCCGCCGTGCTACGCGCCTGCTTCGTGCATCAACGTCGCTACCCCCAACATGCATCGCTGTGGCTAGCCATCTCGACTCTGCGCCCCAACAACGCACTCATAACCGATCAAGGTTATATTCTTTCGTAACTTTGATTTCGTTCAGCCCCAATGAGCCCAGTCTCTCCGAAGGAGCCGATTCATTGCTCAGCGTGACGAAGGCAGCCGCCTGCGGTTTGATGCCTGGCATCCATTGCGAAGGAGGTGCGTTGAGATTCGATGTCGACGAGCCGTTGCTCTGTGTCCGGAACTTCATCCGGCGAAGACCGATACCGCCATCCTCAGTAGGGAGCGGAGGAGTTCGGCGCCACGAAGGAAGCGAACGGACGTTGGGAACGCAACAGCAGACAATACCGACAGCGACCTCGATTGGGGAAAAGCAGATACGCCACCACGACGCACCGATCGGATCGTCATTGACGTTGCCGAAGACGTCGATCGCGCAGTCGATACGGAGGACTGCTAGGATGGTACAACTGTGTGGTGTCAGCAAGAGCTATCTGGAGCGAGTGCTTAGCTTCACGTACAAGCATCCAAGGAGGAACAAGACCATCACCCATGCCTTCTTCTTGCCTGAGAGATCTGCTGCTGCTATAGCAGGTATCGGGGCGAAGAGGATGACACTGTTGAAGAAGACGTGCAGCGATCCGATGATGATGCACGACTTCTTGCTCTGCAGCTTGCACTCCCCTGGTGGATGGCACATGCTGATCCAACCCGCGAGCGACCAGATGTACCAAATCGCGATGAGCGCCATAGACACATAACAAGCGATGCGAGCAAAAACTCTCTTCTCGTACAGGCGGAGGTAGGATTTCGCAAAGGCCACCTGCACCGTTGCAACCGACGTAGCCCAACAGATGTCGAGTGCGAATTGTATCTTGAAAGCCTGTTAGCCAACTATCGAGAAGCCTCCAGCTAAACATACCCGCAGCCAGAAACGCTCCACAACGTCAAAGTTCTTCGTCGGGTCCGCCTGAATCTCATAGCTCGTAAGCCCTTCTCCGCCGAGGAACACCAGCACGTAAACTAGCGTAACTACGACAAAGCTCATAGCCTACGGTTGTTAGCATGGTACCGCCGTCATGATTCCATCGTCTTACCAGAGCAGCCAGCATCAGCGCATCTTCGTTGATCGTGTTGACCCGTCTGACACTCCTCGTGTACCATCTCGCCGCCACCGCCGCCGCAGCCACCGCAAGGCATAGTGTAGGCGCAATCAACAACGCAAGCTGCTTGCCATTGACAATGTCAAAACGATCCGATTGCTTCCCCGCCATGATCGATACTATCCAGCTCTTCTTCACTTCACCGCATACCGAGCGCACATCAAAGCCAAAGTCGTCGAAAGAGAGGGGCGTAACTGGAACCAGGATTAAAAAGCCCCGAGCGGAGCGAGTGAACGTAGATAAAGCCAAAGAGGCGATCCTCCCCATTGCCTGGTCCAGAGCACAGAGTTGTCATGCACTATGCTCGTTGAGTCCGCCGTCTTCAACGCCTATCTCGCGTCACCCAGGGTGCCTCAGCCGTGCGGCCCATGCGACAAGTGTAGTGTTGGCCTTTCGGGAAGCAAGACCTAGTCAGGGAGCGCGGCGGGGCTCATGCTGTGCGCCGCTGATTTGTCGCACATCTGACGGTCCGACGCGGAACACGGCTAACCTGCATGCATCCCTGCCAGCCATATACCTGTGACCCAATGAAAGCTACCACACCAGCAGGCCCTCCGTTCATGGGGGCTTGCGCTTCCGGGGCACTGATGCGGCTAGCATGAGCTATTGCAGACAAAAAGCAATATAGCAAGCTGGCAATCCTTTGCCGTATTCTGGTAGGTTTCTTGATGATAGTTTCACTTCCCTCGAGGCGATCGGTTAGCAAAAGAAAAGTAACTCAACGCTATGGGCGATCCGCGCATATGTCTGCATCACGACGTGCGGGGTTGCCGAAGCTGAACACCCCCGAGGCGACGGTTGGCTTCCCCTATCGATCACGCAGCCCCCATGCTCATCACCGCGAACTGAAACAAGCCCGCCCGCGTCGGCCGTTCTTCGTCGCGTGGTCTGCCAGGTCATGGTTCCGGCACAAGCGAGGTGGCGCCCTTCTATCGTGACCTAGAACACAAACTCCACCTACCAACAAGCCTAACAAGATTGTAACTTTGCTTCTCGAGATTCCCGGCACACGTTGAGACAGCATTCATGCCTGGCTATATACTCTAACCTTCTTTCTCAACAGTCGTGCCGTCTCGCTCAACACTACACATATTAAAGGACGCCGCCCTCTCTTTTTCCTTTCCACAGCGGCCCGATCGGTCCTCCGAAATAAATCTCCGACATGACACCGCAAATGCACACGCGTGCAACGGGAGAGTTACCGCAAAGATGTATTCTAGAATTAGCTAAGAGATAAACCCGCATCTGGGGTATATCTCGCTCCGATCATACGATCCTGCAGCTCTTTCGGCCTAAAATCCTAGAGGTGACGTCGCAGATTGTATATTGGATGAAGTCATCGGGCTAAGGTTCGGGCAGTAATGCGGTCGTCTGCGTGTCATATGCAGGGCAATAGGAGGGAGGGAGGTGGTATCACGTGGGGCGGGCTTATCTGGTGCTGTCACATGTGATTGGGGACGGCAGAGAACGGGTGAGTGAGGGAGAGACAATGCATTCGGAACTACAGAAACCATACGGTACGACTATGCGCGGAGGCATTCGCAACCGTGAAAACCGATAGACGCCAACGCCAAACCTATCCCAGGAGATATTCAGTGACCTCTGACCCAGCCCAGACAAACTTCATGAGGGTGCGCGTCGACCTTCACGACCCCAACACCCAAAAAACCCAAACGCCAAAACCACCCCAGGAGGTCGTCGCATACTTCGCACGGATGCAGTGAAATGCTAGTACTCAGAAAGGAGGTTCTATCCACCCCCAAAAACTCCTGCTCGCCTCCTCCTCCCTCTCCACCCTCTCCCTCTCCACCCTCTCCCTCTCCATCTCTTCCTGTGCCCATGTTGGGAACAGTACTTTCCTACACATAGGACAAGTGTTGCACCTCTCAAACCAAGTTATGATGCAGTTGGTGCCAAACACGTGTCCGCAGGCGTTTAGCTTTGACACTGGTTGCTCTTCATTGGTGTGGTGGCTGTGAAGAGGCTTTGTGGATTTGAGCCAACTTGACTTGAAGACAATCGTGTTGGCTGGGTATTGTAAAGCCAGTTCAAGGACTTCTTTGTCGGCGGCGGTGAGCTTGGTGGCGGAGGGGTTCTCGCAGGCCAAGTCTTTAGTGCAGATGCTGCACGTGTCTGTTTCACCGGCGGGCTGGAGGTAGGGAGACAGACCCGCAGCGATGAAGTCGGCCTTGCAGGCGTAGACAGGTGTGGTTGAAGACATCTTTGTTGTGGTGTGGTGAGGTTGTGTTGGTAGATGTGGTAGTAGTGTTGGTAATAGTGTTTGAAGATAGTTGGGATGGAATGGTAAAACTTTCTTCGGATTTTGGACTTTGAATGTGATGGATGATGAAGAAAGGATAATGGAGAGAAGAGAGGGACAGAGCACTATTTATTGAGTTGGAAGCGTCTCTGTGACTCACATTGCACGTTGGTAATGAGTTAATGATTGAGTTGGAAGGCTATCTGTGACCCACACTGGCCGTGGGTAATGAGTGGGTTTGCTGACCTTGGAGACCTCAGGAGTGGTGGTTCCGTACTATCAGGAGCGCATGATCGCGCATTGTTCGCCGGAGCGCCATGCCGAACCTTAGATTTTCAGATAGCTGTGACTCAAGTACATCGACGGGCCTATAAAAGAAAGCCGCATTCACCACATGCCAGGGAAGCCTAGAAGTCTCTACTGCGCTGAGGTTTCGCGGACTTTCGATTCAATACCAATGTGGGCTGCGAAATTTCTGTTCGCTTTCTTCCATAAACGAGGTGTGGGCAAAAGCTCCGCATCAACAATGACCAGATCTATTAGAATTACACACACACACACTATAGCTCCTCAAACTTCTTGCCCCGTGTTCTGCTCAAGGCAGCAGTAGCGCCAAATGCGATACGACCCACATCATCCGTGGGTTTCTCGTCCCCGACGAACCCTGGACACGCAGCAACAGTCTGCTTCCACTGCTTGTCCCCCTCGGCAGCGCTCAGAATATCAGCATGTGCCGTACCAGCCTTGACCACGAATTCTGCACCCAACCAAGGCATGAAAGGCCTCATCCAAAAGGCGTACAGGGCAAGCACTAGTAATCCGAGAAGGTGAAGGCCGAGGAAAACGGACCCGGTGATGACCCCCCAAAGCGCGATATATGTCTTCTTGGTTGGAACGCCCGTATCGACATATACATTCCGCGATTGGTCGAATCCTCCCCATCTGTGGAATTGGCTCGGGTTCAGCCACTCCTTGTTGGCGAGGAAAGCGGCCACAGTGAACGCCCTACTTGCAGAACGTTCCGAATCAAAGAATGCGGCTAGTTGTCTCACGCGGCCAAGGACGTCGACTTCGGACTGGTAGTCGTAGTCGCGGAGGCACGGGCCCCCTATGGCAAAGTTGAGAGGCATATTCCCGAGGCAGTTGTTGCCGAAATTTCTGAACCATACTTCATCATCGACCTCAGGCCGATCTACAAGGAAGGCGGATGGATTTGAAACTCTTCTCTCGATGAAAGAGCCTTCGCCGAATAGTGCCAGTCCAATAGCAGTCAGCGGACCGATGTGATTTCCAATGGGTTGTCTCACATTTCCTGCGTATGTTTCGTTGGTTGCTCGTTTCTCATCTCGACTGGATCCGCTGGTTGAAGAGCCTCTAGCGCTGTCCAAGGATAGCTTATGGAGTAACGGCCCGGCGCGATTGCCGTTCTTGGTATTAGGAAGTTCGAAGTAGCCTAACGTCGAACGGGCGGTGATTTTCCACATAACAGGAGTGCGTAACATTGAAGGCACCGAAATTGCGAGGAAAAGATCCTCGGTAATGTCCTGCCGGTTGTACGTAGCTTGCCAAGGCGTGCCAGAGATATTGGCGGGTATGCAAGCTATTATATCGAACTCCCGGTATCCCGTCTCTCCTCCACGGTATTGTGCGAAAAATACATCTTCTCTGTCGCGAACGCATTCGGTTGGCCACTCAGCGTCTGTCATGTTCCTGTATTCAATTGTGGTATTGAGGCGCGGTGCGTACTGAGGGTCAACATAGACACCGGTGCTGAAGTCCAAGGGAACGGGTGAGAACCAGGCATCTAAGCTCATCTCATCAAGTTGATAAAGACTCCTCGAGAAGCGGTTACAATTGGTGGCCACACTGAATGTATCGTAACACATGTCATTATCCAGTCCATCCTTCTGTTCATCGATCCAGAGGTAAGGCTCATGTTCTCTTTCCGCGCGCGATTCTAGAATGCTACGGAGTCGAACAACTGCTGTATTTATGTCATTGTCGGTGCTGCTGATTAGAGCAGGTATATCAGCGACCCTAATCAGACCGGACTGTGTGCTGCGAGTTGGTATTCGTGTCGGAGTAACCTGGATAAACGTTGTCTGCAGAATCGGGAAGACAGCACCTGTATTCGAGTCAACACCGGCTTCCTGCCAAGATCTGGGCATGACTCACCCACTAATGTCAATGCAAAGGCGAAGTACAATGGAAGACTTCCAACTTTAGACCACCTAGCCCACATTCTTGGGCTGATCCAGCCTTGATCTGCAAGCGCCATAGTCTGACGCAGATTCAACTTCGTTCTCGAGCTGCCAGCCTGGATATAGGCAGCGAAGGCTATAGAGCATATCGCTGAAGTGATGGGAATGGTGAGTAGGGCGACCACCGATTGCAGGATCTGTGCAGCCCTAAGGATCCTCTCGTGTTTAGCCAAGAGACGAGCTACATCTTTAAAGTAGTCTTGATTATCCGTATAGCTTAACTTGCTTCCAATCGGCCGGCTGCTCGCGACACAAAGAACGATCCAGGTAAATAGGGCGAGTGTAGCGTAAAAGATGAAGACCATCAGCGGCCAGAACGAAGTGTGGAGGGTCCTGACGATGGGCTCGCGAACGGTCATGGAAGACGCTCTCGACAGCCTCGACGTGTACATGGGCTCGTGAGTAGTTTCCGGGACCTTTGGTGCACTCGCATTTGCTTGTCTGGTCTCCTCGCTGACGCTGTGCATCTCATGCGACTCCCGTTGCTCCATGTTTGGTGTGATCGATCCGCCGGTAGGGAAGATGGGGAGTCAAGATTCCCGCTGTAAGGGATGTAGCGTAGATTTAATAAAGCATGCGGATGTTGTCGTCTGACAGCGCGTAACTTGACTGCGCCGTCTTGGCTCTTGTCTTGGCGTGCAGTTTGTATTGAAGTTGGGGGCTAAGAGCGGGTGTCGGCACGAGGGAATGTGATCCTCCACCATCGTCGCACAGGGGCTCCAGAGGGAGGCATACTTGTACACCAAACGCAGTGCCAAACCCTTGTGAACCTATTCAAAGGCCAGCCCACAGATTAGTCAATGAGACATCATGGCGCAAATTCGAAGAGGGTCGTCCAACGCGTACACTTTTCGCGGCAAGTGCTGGTGTCTTATTTCCACCTCAGCCTTACAGGGCTGACTTCAGGCCTCCCACCACACCGGTAAAGGGTCCAGGCGAGGTTAGACGTCGTATAACCGACATACGACTCATTTCTTCGCGACCACTACTACGCCACGCACAACTCCGGTCCGCCCCCACCAGCCGAACATGGTTTTCGCGACACCAAAGCGACCTAAGCCTAATCCTAACATCTTGAGCCTGTCGTCTTGCTCTTTCAGGAATGCTGCCAGTGGCGCGAACACATGTTCTGAGATGTCAGTGATGGTGATGGCTTCAGGGTTGTATCCTATCTGCTCCAGCCTCTCGCGGTACCCCTGTGGTGTGGTGAAGTTCGCCCAGGGCGCACCCATGAGAGCAGTGAGAAGGCGAAGCGTCATCTTCTGAGCCCATGTAGCGGTAGGAGAGAGACATAGATCAAAGGCCATCCAGTTTGCTTCTAGCTCTGAGTGAGCGTACTCAATGATGGGCCAGCGTGAGGGAGCGAAGTGATATGCTGTGTCTAGTGCCAACACCCAACGCTCGTCTGTATCGTCCTTCGCATGCTGCAATTTTGTTTGCAGCTGTTTGTCCCACGACTTGGGTTTCGACGCGTCGGCAGAGGAGAGAGATATCGTGGGGTTTCCACCATCTTCCATTTCAGGAGATTCCCCCTTCGTCGTATTCTTCTTGAGCTCGTCAACTCGCTGCGAGGCGTATCGAGCCTGCACAGCATCTTTCGTGATGCCAATGTAATGTTTCCATGTGGCGCAGCAATCTCTTTCATCCCACCAGTCTTTGTCGCACGCTCGAATAGGTCCCTTGCTCATGAGATAGATGGTTTGGTCCCCGCATCCGAAGCCCAGATCCACCAAGGCTCTTCTCCGTGCTGCTGGGCCTTTGTCGCTTGAAAGGCCAGCCTCAGCAAGGATTACGTTCAGCATGTCTCGACAGGCTTCGCTTAGTGTCGTTGAAGTGGTGGCGTTCTTCCAATACCCCATGTTCATCCACATGGCTGTGGGAAGCTGCAGATGTAGCCGCCCATGTTGCAGCCCGTAAACTGAAGCCTGGTCTTCTTGAGCCCCCCGCGCTCTCATCATCAGCCAAAACAGTAGGGTCGCCAGCACTGCGCCGAATATCTGCGTAGCGGACATTTGTTTGACGTGTGGTCGTGATTGGTGCGACGCAGAATCGGGTGCTTGTGGGATTTCGCGGGAAGCTTCAACGAGGCAATGACGCTAGCCGTTTCCGGCGAGAATGTATGACAAGACGCCATATGATATGCACAACAGGAAGTCGCATCATAGACCCCTCAATCCCGAATACTTTCACTTTCGTTCAAACACTTTGAATCGCCTACATCACTTCTTGAGTCCTGGGATGCTATGGGCATGTTGTCTTGCCCGGGTATCTACTCTATTGGATTACCTGCAAGGCTACGAAAGGACCAAGGGCAAGAGGATGCTCCATGCGTCACAGTCCGAGTCTGGATACGCTTGTCTTCATGAATTATTGATGCCTCCAGGGCACCGCGACGTCGAACGCATCAGCCACTCGCATGGCCGAGACAACGCAGCCTTCCAGGAGGACCATACCGTCCCAACACCAGCCGCCCACGAGCCACACATTGTCCTCGCCATTCCTCCACTGTGGCACTGACTTGTCATCTGTGCCGAAGTTCGAGCGCTTGTCAAATATGGCGTTGACGATGCGCTGGCTCTCCGGGCTGCGAAGAACGCGCGTGAACCGGCTCCGTTGAGCAACGCATTTCTCATCGAGAGGAGTGCATGGGCAAGTGGTTACTACGACGCCACATGGTTGGACATGATGTGATTCGGTCGTGTGCGTACCGGAGGTTGCTGTATTGAGGTGGATGAGCTGCGCGCCTTTCTTATCGACGTGCCTGGCGTCGCTACCGTGGAGGACTGCCCAATCCGTGTGAACGACACTTTCTACGACTGCAGTTGGTATGCGCTGCATGTGGTGTTGCAGAGGTCTGAAGATACGGCCGACGACATCTGGGGCGACGGCTAGAATAACCTTGTCAAAGAATTCCGTTTTTTGAGCGTCTGACCCGCCCTGAGACCAGGTTATCCGAACGCCCTTTTCGGAGGGCTCTACCGCTGTTACAGTGGCCTCGAGAGTAACATCGATACCCTTGACCAGGCGGTCTTGTACCCCTCCTACGCCATCTGATACAGTATAGTGTGGTGCGCCGTGGCTCCTCCGCTTGTACTCGATGATATCGCTGGCAGGGAATGCGAGTAGCGACTCGTGTGGACAGGTGGATACGCTCGATAAGAGGGGGAGGAGGTAGTAGGTAACGAAGTAGGTTGGGCAATATGTGCGGTCCAGGTACTGCTGCATAGTCTCGCCTCGTCTAGGTTCGAAGAAGAAACAGCAGAGCGCGAACCACGAGTAGGCAAGCGTCAAATATAGCCATTGCATCAGGTACGAGGTCCTGCTAACTCTGCTCGGTCGGGACGCCATCTGGTGGAGGTTCGATGCATGTGTAAAATACGATGTGTCGCGGCGGCCAGTCGCTAAGGCCTCGGGGCTCGCATCGCGGCATTTCGCGAATTCGAAGAGGAAGGGCTGGGAGTTGTATTCGATGCGCAGGTAGTCGTACAGGGCCTTGAGGTTGTTGTAGTAGCCGCCCGCAAACGCGCGCATGGGCAGGTCCACGCGGGTGGAGGCGTCGGTGGCTGCATCGGGGATGGAGATGGAGGCGGCGTCTAGGGAGAGCGTTTTGCCCTAGAATTACTTTTGTGAGTACAGTCGCGGATAGAGTGGGTGTCAGGCGGCCTACCGACTCGAAGACCCTGACGGCATATCGCTGGCGGACATCGTGGAACAACAGGTTCGCGCTAACCAGTCCCGCCAGGCCAGAGCCTATTATTGCGACCTTCTCGCGTGGCTGCTCCATGCTGAGGTAGTCGTGGACGTCAGCGGTGTGGAGCTATGGTGTTGATATTTAGGGCATGACGTGCAAATCGTCGCATGTCCTCGGCTGCTGGCCCGCAGCAGTCTCAGAACAGGCATCGTCCGTCTCTACCCAATTTGATAGCAGACATCAATTGGCGACGGCATCGTCGCCGGGGCTAGGCTCAAATGGAGCAAAGTGCATGGAGCAACATGTGCCCGTCGGAGTCGCGCGTCCTGTCTTGATGTCATCCTTTAGATTGAGCGTCTTGATTGGTTGAGGGAATATCACCGACGCGTCCCTTGCATGCGACATCCAGCAGTGGCCACACGAGATGTAACTCTAGACTCTAGAACATCACTTTCCTGTAGACGTTGTAGATATCGTTTTTTTGATTGATCGTGGAAATGGCAGGCACCGACAAGCTTCCTGAGATGCGAGTCGCCGTCATTGGGGCTGGGTACGCCACCCTCTCAACAAAAATCATCACATGCTAACACGGCGGAAGTCCCGGCGGACTGACGACTCTTAAGACACTGCTTGAGGCATCGACACCTGATCGGCCGATAGAGGCTGTTTTGTTCGAGGCGTAGGCATACTCCACTCAGCCCCGATCGGGTTTACCATCACATGACCTAACACCCTCCAGCGAAGACAATATCGGAGGCACATTCCACTACCGTGCTTATGAGAACGCCGAGCTGGTATCTTCAAAGCAATTGACTACCTTCTCCGACCACCGCTTCCCCGTGTCAGCACCAGACCACATTTCGCTTCCACAATATGTCGGCTATTTGCAGGACTACGTGGACAAGTTCGACCTACAGCCGCTCATGAAGATGGGCTGCAGAGTCAACAAGATCGAGCCTATATCGAAGTCGACTGATCGGAAGTGGAAGCACCGTGTCAGATACGTCGACAAGAATAGCGATGGGGAGGAGCGCACTTTCGACTGTTCACACGTCGCTGTCTGTACTGGACTGCATGTCGAGCCCAACATTCCCAATATCCCTGGCATCGAGAATGCCAAAGGAGAAGCTTTCCACTCTTCACAGTACAAGAAGCGAGCACAGCTGACAGGCAAAGATGTGCTCATCATGGGCTGTGGAGAGACTGCCATGGGTACACTATACAAGGACACGGAGACGAGTACACGCTAACGTTTGTAGATATCGCTTACGAAGCCATGAAGGGTGATGCAAATTCAGTCACCATGTGCTTCAGAACGGGTTTCCTTTCTTTCCCCAAAGCGCTTTCGCGTTTCAAGGTGTTCGGCAAGCAATTCAAAGGAGGTCTGCCTATCGACGGTCTCATCACCAATCTCTTCGAGACAGCCTACGTGCATCGCGCGATAGCTGCGAGTCGATTCCGTTGGTTTGTATCGGACTTTGTCATCAAGCGTGTGTTGTGGTTCTTGACTGGCACACAGGCGGGCATGAAGTGAGCTTCTATCTGATTTTAGCGAATGGGCACATGCTGACCCAATACAGTCAACATGTCGGCGCACTGCCACACGACAGACTAGGCAGAGCTTTCGTCTTCCTAAACAAGAGCAGTAAAGCGATGCCATATCTAAACCGGCCCTACAAAGAGAGCCACCCTCTCGCCTTCCTCGGCAACGGCTACGTAGACCCACCCGAAGACGCGCAGTCGAAGAAATGGGTAGACACATGCACATTCCCGGAGCGCATAGACGAGACCGGAAGAGTG